CTCGTCTAAATTGCTTTGATAGTTGTAAAGTTTATTAATAAAAAATTTTTTCCAATAATTTTGACTCACACTGTAAATTAAAAAATAATAAAACTTCAAAATGATTTTAAGAATTTACAAAAAATTGAATTAATTTATTTTTTTCAAGCACTTAATAAAAAGTATATAAAACAAAATTTTATTGTAATTTATTTAAAACAAAAAGTTTTCAAATGTGATTTTTAACAATACTATTTCAGTATCAAGTCAGTACTGGATTTATTATAAGTTAATATCAAATTAATACTATTTTAGTACTTGATTTGGAATTTTGCTTTCAAAGTATTATAAAAATTCTAAATTTTTAAGAAACTTAAAAGTATTTTATTTTAAGTAACTGATAATAAAATTTTGCTTTACATATTTTTATTAAGTACTTTAGAAGAATAAATCAACTTAAGTTTTTATAAAATACTTAAATCAATTAAAACATTTTATTTTATATTTATTCTAGAAATTTTTAAATTATTTCAATATAAAAATTTTTGAAGTTATTTAAAGAACTCTGAAATATTTCTTTAAAAATTTCTGAAAAATTTTTTAATAAAGATTTTGAAGTTTTTTTGCAAAAAATATTTCTGATTATTATAGAATATAAGTTTAATTTAATAAAACCAGATATTAATTATTCTTTTATCTCAAAAATAAATAAATCATAATTAATATACAAAATTTTAAATTTAAATTTAATTTTTTTGCAATAAAAATTATAACAATTAATTAAAAACTTTATAGGTTATTTTTTACTATTAAAAATATATATACGGTATTGAATTTTAGTATTATTTAATATTTATTACCACTATATTTTTTAAAAAAATTTTCAAATTAATCAATTTTCGCATAATACAATACCAATTGTATAATGCATGTTCTGGTTGAACATTTTCCTTTAATAAGATAATAAGAATAAGAATAAGAATATAAAATACAGTATTTAATGCACACAGCGAACAAATAGTAAATAAAAATACTTGAGTGTAATACAAAAAGAGTTTCTTCATAAATCAATATAGTAAACAGCAGGTAATTAAGTAATTAATTGCAGACTGTTTTGTGTATTAAGCGTTTATTAAAGAAATACTATATAATTTATGTACTACCGGAATCCCACGCTGAATTATAATTTTAGATTGTCTCGCTTGCATATTGATAAAGGACTTAATATATGATCTTTGTCATGAATATGTTCAAAATGTTAAGGTAAATAATACGTTTCTCGGAATACGAACACAATCGCATATAAAACTTACAATGTTATTGTCTTGAAAAATTATTTTACTTTTCACTTTGCATCTCACATTTTTTTAAATCATTCTTGTTTTATGTTTGATATATTTTGAAAATAGCGGATTTCCATTCAAGTTGATGTATCAATCCTGAGACAATCGCTAACAAATTTATCAAATATAGCATTTATTGTTCTCAATTTATTATTTTATATCCTCATGTCTGGACACAAACTTTCGTAATTGCTTTTTTTTTTTCTCCTCACAAAGTTTTCATAAAAGAAGCTGTATGAAAATAAAAAAATGACATCAATTAAATCGGATTCTATACCTACGTCTTCGAATTTTACCCATAACACTCCTGTATTAATAACTCGTAAGATTTCTTTAAAATATGACTTGTATTGTTTCTAGTCACTTTTTTTTCCACAGTATTAAATATCTCGGTCCGCATTCTCAAATATAATTACAAATCTAGAACAACCACTAAACACTCCATCTAATCCAACAGTAAACGATAAAGTCCCGATAGCAATCGCAATATCTGCATTTATATTATTATTCTTTGGCTCCCTTCTCTACATTTACGTCAAAAGTCGTCAAAAAATAGCACAACAAAAATCACTCGCCTCTGCCATTATAGCTACCGAGGCCGGTTTGTCTCAAACTAATTTCCCTTCTTCACCACCGCCACCGCCACCCACACCACCATCAACCCCTGTTGCTGCCACGAAATTAGCCACAACTCCGAGGTATAGGATGTCAACGCTGCAGATTGAACCGATGACAAAACGATTGACATTGGATTTAAGTCAAAAGGGAAAATGCATAGTGATGAAGGATGATAATGATGTCTATGTAAATCATGTTTTCAATGTGGTTTCGGTGAATAACGAAATTATATACGAAATCAATGGTCATGAAGAAGATGGTGTTTTACCAAAAAGATCAAAAAAACATTTTTGGAAATAATTATAAATCCACATACTTAATGTAAATAATAACTAGCGACATTTTAAATATATTGGTTTTAATTACACCTTTATAAACATTTGAACTATTAAACTGTAAATCGCCATTTATTATAATCTATTGGCTTTAATATAACGGTTAAGTATTAATGTAGTTCTTCTATCATAAATTTTTTATTACCCTTGAAATTGAATCCAATATAAATAAATAAAGTTGGTCTTTACTATGCATATCATATCCCAAAGTCGGCCAAAGCCTGACTCTCTGTCAAATATTTGAGCAAAATATTTCTGGCACCGTTTATGTCCCTATCCATTTCCACTTCACACAAATCACATTTGAATGTTTTTAATTCTCCAAGGTCATTCTTCATGAACCCACAACACTCACATGTCTTGGACATGTATTCCTTGATACACTTAATGATCTTGCAAATGCAGAACTCCTTTGTCTTATGTTGTAAGAACATCCAGAACCTGAAATGTGACCAAGTCAGCATTGTGTGAGCAGTCTTCAACCAAATCTTTCTCTTATTCTTTAAAACCATTCTCAAAAATTCAAATTTAGATAACAAGATAATCATGTAATTTATGTACAACTATCTTATGAGCTAGTTATGACACTTATCTATTAAATAACAGATTCATTGTATAACTTGCAACATTTTTTTTTAATATAAATCTTTTTCTCTTGGTTATTTATCTTAACATAAGATTTTTGTTACTCTATAACTTGTCATATTTCTTGAATAGTTTGAATATTTAGTTGAGATTACTATTATCCTACTTAATTAATTAATTGTAGAATTGTAACTGATCATAAATGTGTGAACACCTGAATCAAGTAAGATTATCTTTTCCAAAATATTATTTTAATTATCAATAATGTCTAGAGAAATAGAAACACACAAATTAAAATATCCTAGGTAATTCATGGTAATGTTCACTATATTATTAATCTTTAGTGATTGTTTTAAAGTAACGATATCTTTTAGAAATATATATTCTCCTCTGTTTCTATTCCAATTTTTAACAAAGATCAAAATAGTTTGTATTTGATTCTTTTTTGATCAGTATTTCATTTGAAAATTATTTTTATGCAACTTTTTATTTGTTTAATATACACTTATTAATTGTCTGATCACATATGAATATACTTTCCTAGAAGTCTCTTTTACCTATAAAAGTTTTTTAGTTATAAAACATTTATTGTTTAAGTAATATCTTTATTATTATTTTTTTTCTCTAATCAGACTGCATTTGTTGTATTTATTATTCTTTAAAGAAATATTATAATAATACATTAAACCCTAAGGCTATATACTAGAGCTAAACTATGGTTCCGAAAATTGGAATCGAATAGAATCGAACAGAATCGCATGAGGTTCGGAACACTATTAAAAATGAT